GGTGCATGGACTGTCTCCCGGTGGTATTGCGGGAGTTCTAGTCCCTTCTGCCTTATCCTTCAAGACCCAGCTCAGACATCCCTGTCTCCAGGAAGCTCTCTTTGCTTTATCCAAATGGGTTACCCTCTGCTCCCGCAGGCCCCATAGCATCCCATGCTTACTGCCATCGTCAGACTGGTCACACTAATCTGGAAATCCGTGCATGGCTTAGTACCCCCCAGATCTGGGTTCACCTGTTCCCTGTAGACCATAGAATGCCTTTGTGCAGATTTGGAAAAGGTGACTCTTCTGGGTGGACATGGTCCCAGTCCAGGGAGTAGCCAATCTTGGAGCTCAGACTGGATTTCAGTCCACTTAATCACCTCGGCTGTGCAGCGTTGGCAGTGAATGGCTTCCCTGCCCATATACGCAAGCCCTCGACTTATTTACCTTTTCAAAAAGATCTGAGGCTTCTCTTACCCGTCCCCTCCCAGGAGCTTATGTGCTTCCTGCAATGAACCTGGGAAATCAGGATATAAATGCTCATTTAAGAGCACGGAGAGACACCTGGGTGGCTCAGTCAGTAAATAAGCATCTGACTTTGGCTTAGCCATGATCTCGCGGTTCGTGAGTTTGAGCCCCACGTCGGTCTCTGTGCTGACAGCTCAGAGCCTGGAGCCTGCTTCAGATTCTGTGTCTCCCTCTGTCTCTGGCCCCTCCCCTGCTTGTGCTCTGTCTCTATCTCTCAAAAGTAAATAAACAATTTAAAAAAAAAGATCAGGGAGATGGAGGCAGCGAGTTCTGGGACTTGCTGAGGGCTCCCAGCTGGGCTGGGGCCCAGGCCTCCTGGCTGCTGCCAAGGTCCTTCCCACCCTACGGCTCAACAGGTTTTTCTGACCTTGAAGCCAAACAGATGCCAGAGTTTCCTTTTGGCTTAGGGTTCCGTGGGCTGATGATTCCTGGACAGCCTTCCTCAGAAAAGAATGTTTTCCGGCAAATTGCGTGACAGCTGGGAAAGAGGGGAGGCCACTGCTGTGAATTGGCACTTTCGTCTATATATAGCTCTATACAGCCTTCCTGCGAAGGGAGGGCCTGGTTCCTGCCACAGCTGCTCCCCACTCCCCCCCCCCCCCCCGCCCAGATGACACTGCCCGGCAGGAGGTGGCCCCAGTCCAGGAATCCAGACCACCCGAGGGCATACACAGCGGTCGCATCCGCAAACATGTGCCAAGCTTTGCAGACACAGCCATGGCTTGCCCAGTGGGACAGCAGGGACGTCGGTAGTGGGGGATGGGTGAGGGATGTCTCTCGCCTCTTCTCTCTGCCTCTCAGGGCCTCTGCTCTTCTCTGCCCGCCTCTCCCGTAGGCCTGTCCCCTGTCCCTCTGGCAGAAACTTGCTCAGAGTTGGGCAAATCGGATGTGCCACATGAAGGTGTTGTGAGGCCATCACGGGCCAGGTATCTTCAGGGCCTGTTTGAGACTTTTCTCGATGGGCAGGACTTTTTACCCAGCTGTCACTGGTGGGCCTGGGAGATGGAGGTGCAGCAGGGCCAGGGCATGACTCAGGGTCTCTGCAGAAAGCTGGTGGCTTCTCCCCCTCCTCCCACCACTGCTGGCCGCAGCTCCAGCCTCAGGCCGAAGGGCAGTAAAAGCAGAGGGACATGGGAGCCAGCCTGCCAAGGGGAGAGGGGGAATGCCAGGGAGGAGACAGATGAGCCCCTGTCACATGTCACATTCTTTGTCCCTGTCACCCTCAGGGACACACACACACACACACACACGCGTGCGATGCACAGGTCTGGGCTCCTGACCGCTTGCTCAGGGTCAGCCCTGTGACACTCACCACGGCTGGCTGCCTCGGGCAAGTCACCGGAGCTGGGACCGGAGCAAGGACTGGCTTTCTATCACCAGCTCACCTGCGGGTCTATCACCCGCACCTGCTGTGCGGGTCAGGAAAAAGAGCCTCGGATTCCGGGGTAGGTCAGCTTTGAGTTCGAACCTCACTTTGGCCTCTGACTGGCGGCAAAACCTTGGGTACATCACCCTGGTATGAGCTGAATTGTGTCCCCAAATTTCCTATGTTGAAGCCCTAACTCTGAGTATCTCAGAACGTGACTGTATGTGGAGACAGGTCCTTCAAACAGGGGTTTAAGGTTGGGGCGCCTGGACGGCTTCATCGGTCGAGCGTCCGACTTTGGCTCAGGTCGTGATCTCACCGTTCGTGAGTTCGAGTCCCAGATCAGACCCACTGCTGTCAGCCCGTCAGCGCAGAGCCCACTTCAGATCCTGTCCCCCTCTCTCTGCCCCTTCCCTGCTTGCGGTCTCCCAAAATATAAATAAATATTTAAATAAAAGGCATTAATGTTAAATGAGGTCAGAAGGGTGGGGCCCTCATGTAACAGGACTGGTGTCCTTATCGGAAGAGACAGTAGATGTGCTCACGCAGAGAGGAAGGAGGCCACGTGAGAACACAGCGAGAGGCAGACCTGTGAGGCCGGGGAACCCAGGCCTGCTGACCTCTCCACCTGAGCGTCCGGCCCCCAGGGCTGCGAGAAGAGAAGTGTGTGGTTCACGCCGCCCAGTCTGTGGTACTTTGCTAGGGCAGCCCCAGACTCATACTCCCCCTTCTTTGAGCCTCGATGTCTTCATCTGCAACTACCTTCCTCGAGGGGCTGATTTGCAGATTAAATAAAATAATGCAGGCGAATCACTAACCGGTGCCGGGACCCCCAGAGGGCTCAGCACGTGCAATGCCCTGTGTTATGGCCCTGGATCAGGCCCGCACACCTGTGCTTGTCTTTCCACACCTCACACATCCAGACGACAGGGAGTCCGGGCAGCTCCCCGCCTCCTGCCTTCTGGCCTCTCCTGGGAGAATCCTGGCACTGGCCCGAGGACGGTGGGCCCTGCATGCACACGCACATGCACTGATCTTACAGGGGCCCTGTTAGCCCAGCCTCTGCCCACGTCCTGGGAGCCGGACATAAGACCCCAGGGCTGCGCTGGGACCCAATCCACCCTCTGAATCCCAAACCTGCCCCACGTGGGGGCCCCACTTGGGCAAAAGGGTGCTTGAGTAAATGGCCCCCTCTGACTTTCCCCAACTGCTGCAGGCCTTGTAGGAGGCGGTGGGCACTTACCTTACAGCTGGGGGTACAAGGCTGCAGAGCAAGCTCGGCTCAGGGCTGTGGGGAGCATTGGAAGGCCAGGAAGGGGGCAGTGTCTGCATCGTGTAGTCGGGGGGAAGGGCAGGAGGGGAACCTGGGACCATGGCTGGCTACTCTCAGTTTCTGGATACTTGCCCATCTATGCTTACCCCCAGCCTGGAAAGTTCTCCCGGCTAGCAGCATCCTGAAGCAATCCATGCATCTCACACAGGGCTGGCCTGGAGCCAGAGCCCAAAAGTGGTTTGTTGACTGGCTGAATGACCTGGTTGATGCCCAGGGGTTTAATTCAGGGGGGGTCCAGCCATCGTTCCCTGGGCACACTGCTCATCGCCATTCACACCGGGGCTCCATTTGAACTTGGTCTGTTTTGTTCCCTGCAGTTTCCCAGGGCCTAGAAGAGTGCTGACATTTAACAGGCACTCAACAAATATGGGTTCTTAATCAGTGCTGAGGACACAGATGTGAATGGTCCTAATCTGGACGACAAAGCAGACATATCAACCGACAACAGCAATGTGAATCTTGTGAGGAGATGAGCCTCGGGGGTTGTGGAAATGTGTATAAGGACAATCAGGCCAGCCTAGGAAGTCGGAGACGTCTTCCCAGAGGAGGTGGGTTTTGAAGGATGAATAGGAGTTTGACCGATGACTTCTTGTATTCCTGGGACAAGAAGCAGAAGCAGGAAGGTGTGAGATCATTTTTGAAATGATGCAGAGGTGGGAATGATAGGAACCAAGGATGGGGCGGGAGAGACAGTAGATGAACAGGCCGAGGGCTGGACAGCAGCCACGGCCACGGCCACGGGAGCTGAGGGTAGCTGGTAGCACACTGCAGACTCTGCCACAAGACAGGGCCTTCAGGAGAAAAGAGCGGGAGGTCTTCTGACCCCCACCTGGGAAGGGAGTTAGGCATTTATGGGGGGGGGGGTCTGGCTGACTGAGCAGGGCTCAAGCCTCTTGAGGAAACAAGATGCCATTTTAAAAAAGGCTTTTATTAAGTTCACCCCACACGACTTCTCAGGCTGCATTGCTACAGCCCTGGGGCATGGCCACCAGGGAAAGGGCTGCATCAGTGTCTCCTGGGGCCGGAGCTGAACTTGTCCTTGTAGACACTGAGCCGGCCTTTGCTTGGTGGACCTGGTGTTTGTCTGGCTGCTTCTGGAGGGACTCGGAAACTGGGGGGGGAGACACTGGGGGCACGGGCAGCTGAGGGCAGTCTCCAGTGCAGGGATGGGGGGCTCGTCCCCTGAGAAATGTTCCTGAGACGCAGGGAGGGTCCAAAACATCCCAGCTCCATCCCGGGGCGCGGTGGGCGGCTGTGGCCGGGCCGCTCCTCCTAAGGACAGTCCTGGGGACAGTCAGCCCCTCCCAGAGAAGACTGAGGACTGGGTGGGCCTGGGGGGTTGGGCTGTGAGTGAACAGGGCGCCCCGCTAGGGCTCTGTTTGCTGCAGCTGGCTGGAGAGTCCTTTCTCTCTCCGAGCCTCAGTTTCCCTTTCTGGCTGAGGAAGAACTTGCTTCTCAGCGCTCCTCCTGGGATCTTCACAACTCTTCTGCTGTGCAGGCCCCAGCACGCTCACTGTGCCGCAAGCGAGGGTGACAGCTGGGTGTCCGATCCACGATGGGAGTGCGCGTGTGTTCGGGGGGCGGGGGGCGGGGTGAGCGAGCGGGAGCCGGTCCGCCCGCTTCTCCGCTTCTCCGCCGCCGCGGGCCAGTCTTGGACCGCCGCCACCGGAGGGGCCGGGACCCCCGCTCACAGGAAGTTGGGCTCCCGCACCACGAGGCAGGGCGGGCCCCCGCCGCCCCCGCCGCCATCCAGGGGCCGGTACACGAAGTGGAAGTCGCGCTTGGGCTCGCTCCGCAGCAGGTAGCCCTTGATGCGGTGCGGCAGCGCCTCATCCGCCAGCTGGAAACAGCGCCCGTCCACCAGCACGAAGAGCCGGTGGTCCTGGGGCTGCGACACCTCGAATTTCTCCGCGCACTGAGCGCACAGCGCCTCGGCCAGCGTGTCGGCCCGCGACGCCAGCGTCCGCGACTGCTGCTCGGGCTCCAGGTACGACACGCAGATGAAGTCCTGCGGGGGGAGGGGGGAGGGGAGACAGAGGGGGCTTGTGTCACCGGCCGGGTCATCCCGTCTCCCCTCCCCCACCCTGACGCTGGGAGCTTGCACGGGGCTGAGGAGCTGAGTGGCCTTGGACAAGCCCATTGCCCTCTCTGGGCCAGGGCTCTTCTCTACACAGAGAGGGGACTGCAGGGGCGGTCGTGGGGTTGGACGTCGGGGCATCTGCGGCTGACCGTGCTGTGTGTGTGACCTGCACAAGGCCAGCTCCTTCTCTCTCTCTGGGCCTCACCTCTCTAGGGCTGACTATTCTGGGGGAGTCGGCCGGGGTGGGGGTGATGGTAATGAGGAGTGAGCGCGCCCCCTGGTGGCCAATCCGCGGGCTAATCCGTCACCCACTTCCTCAACAATTCCTCCAGAAGCTCCCCCTGCATCCCCACCCCAGGCCCAAGACTGGGGCACCGAGGCTGGCCTAAATAAAGTAGAACGTGCAGACCCCAGGCCCAGCAGCCCACGGTGCAGCTGGGCTACTAAGGCCTGAGAAACGGGTCAGCCCTTAAGGCTGGAAAAGCCTGGGGATGGGGGGGGGGGCGGGGGGTGGAGGCTCCTCCGAGCAGGGGCAGGAGGGGAGGGAGATGGAGGGCTTAGTGAAAGGGGGAGGGGAGCTGGGCCTGAAGGCGGGTTTAGGGCGGAGGGGGAGGGGCACCCCACGAGCTAGGCGGGCAAGGGCGAGGCGATGCCTGTGGGGCTGGGTATAGGAACAGACGCACAAACCTGAACAGCATCTACACCTTCTCCCACCAGCCCCAGAGGGAGGGCCAGATGGTGGAAGGATGGGCCCTCCAGTTCCTGCCCGGCTTTCCATCTGCTCCCATTCACTGTGTGACCTTGACCTCTCTGCGTCTCCATTTCCTCAACGCTAAACTGGGTGACTCCAGTCCCTTACCCCTTGGTGTGACAAACTAGCTCAGCGCCTGGAAGAGTCCCTTTTCCCCCAGCGCCTTGAGGGCAGATAGGAAGCGTGTGCGGGGCTGCCCCCTTGTGGAGGGTTGGTAGCAGTACAGCTGTCTGACCGTGGTGAAGAAGATGATGAGGACGACCACGACCAAAGGCACCACCACTTAAGAGGGATTATAACTATGGTTACAGGGTGGGGAGTGCAGATGAGGCGCTGAGAGGAAGCAGAGGGTGGTGCCTCCATGGACCCCGGAAACAGTGTTGGGGGCTTCCTCATCCCCCATCCAAGCATCTCTCCGAAGCTTAACCTCCCCTGTGAGAGGCACTGATGTTCTGCCTGGCTTAGCACTGGGAACCTACGACGTAGGAACACGAAGTAAGCAATGCCACGGCCAGACGCGGGCCAGGAAAGCCCCTGTTGCCAGAGGTGGTGGAGAGATGGCTGTCCCAGGAGGGGGTGGGGAGCAGTGGTATGCTGGAGCCCGCCCCTACCAACTTATGCTGGCTCATAACCAGCTTGAGAAAGCCAATTGCGTGCATCTCTTCCCAATTTCAAGTTCAGCGATCCCAAGTTAGTAGATTGACTTTGGCCATGATGGGAGTATTTGTACCATGGAAATTGATAGAAGCTAAAATCAGAGCTGCCTTTTTTTCTCCCCAGAGAGCCAGTTACTAAACATATCAAGACGCCATTAATAAGAGGAGGGGGGACATCATCTTGTCAGCCCTGAACATGTACTTGGGAGCCAGAGCTCATCTGGTCCACTGAGTCCCAAAGAGGGGCATGGTCACATAGCAAGCTAGTACAGAGCTGGGTCCAGACCTCCAGCCCTTTGCCTCCCAGGCCTGGGCTCTGTCCGTTACAGAGGGGCCATCTTGGAAGCCAGGGGTGGGGTTCAGGTCCAGTGTGCTCCAGGTGCCAACGGAGTGAGACTGTAGAGCCGCTTACAGCTCTGGATTGGTGCCTGGCTCCATGTTTTAATGGATCTGTATGTGCCCCCATCCCACTCTGTCCCAGGCCCTGGGCTCGAGGCCCCTCGGACATGTGAGTCACGGGCCCTCCCTTCCAGGGCAATGGCTTCATACAGAGATGGTCACAAACATGGTGTGATATATGCTATAATGGGGGGAGCAGCAGCAAGAAACACAGACGATGGCATCTAACCTGGGCCATAGGGAGAGAGGGACAGGTGTGGGGGTCGTTGAAAGAAGGCTTCTCAGAGGAACTGAGGATGCGCTGTGGCAGCAGTGAGGCAGGGGACAGTGGCCAGCAGGGGCAGGGGCTGAGAGCCAGGGAGCTGAGCTCTGCATGTTCAGGGAATTGGGGGCAGCTTGAGGGCGCAGCGTGGGGGGGTGTGGGATGACGAGAGTGTAGGAGGCAGGATCCCCGACCGCCATGGCTTGAATGCTGTGTCTAGACAGAGGTGGGGACACTCGTGGCTGGATGGGAGGACCAGGCTGGGCGCAGGGGCACCTTGGCGGCATTCGTCCGGGGACGAAAGGGGCCAGGCTGTGGATCAGCCCGTGGGCTTCCCCAAGCCGGTCTGCAAGGCTAGGTCCACACCTCCAGGCACAGCAGGGCACGCGCACTTGGACATCAGGACACAGCAGGCGCTGAGGTGCGCTGGATACGGTCTCATTCCTCCCCTCCTGCCTTGTCTGCTCAGCGAAAACCCCCATGATGCCTGGCGATACTTTTCTAAAGCCCTGGCCCTGCAGCCCGTCCGGAGAGCCGCGGGACTGGCGTCCGGGGGTCCCACCCGCCCCCTCCCCTCCGCCCTTGCGCCCCAGGCGTCACCTGCACGGAGGAGCGCGAGGCCCGGGCCTTGTTGAGCGTGCGCCGGCGCTCCCAGCGGTGGATCGAGTCCTGCACTTCCATGCTCAGCTGCCGGGTCACCGTGATCTTGTCGTAGTTCTTGATGTGCTCCAGGGCCCCGTAGGTGGTGGTCAGGTAGTAGGAACCTGCGGAGACCCGGGTGTGGCACAGGCTGAGCTGGGACCCCCTTGTCGGCTTCTCCAAGCTCGGCCGCCTGGGGGAGCACCTGCGGCACCGGCCCCTGCGGAGCTGCGGCGGCGGCCCGGCCCTCACCCCTGCAAATTCACAGGCTGCCTGAACTCCAGCGTTCCCCTCCCCCACCCCGTCCCCGCTGTCAGGCCCTGCTCAAAGATGGTCTTTGGCTCCCCTTCAGGATGGAACTTCTTTATTTTTAAAATATTTATTCATTTTTGAGAGAGAGAGAGGGAACTCACAAGTGCACGTGAGTGGGGAGGGGCAGAGAGAGAGAGAGAGGCAGGCAGAGGATCCGAAGCGGGCTCCGTGCTGGCAGCAGTGATCAGATGCAGGGCTGGAGCTCAGGAACTGTGAGATCATGACCTAAGCTGAAGTAGGTTGGTCACTAAGCCGACTGCACCCCCCAGGTGCCCCCGGAGTTTATTTTTAAAATGAGTTTTTAATTTTCAAATGAGTTTTGGAAGGTTTTAAAATTTAAAGGACACACAAGAAACTGATATTCGTGGATGTCTTTAGGGTGTATATAAAATATACACAGGCACTTATATAAATATATATAATGATATGATATCGCATTTTTAGATATCATGTGTCTAAAGCATAATTTTAAAAGATGTAGAAAAATTTTAGTTATGGTTATACTTTTACACACATTTTTAAAAAGATTTAAAGTAAGTAAAAAATTCAAATTCTTTATATCTCCATTCCTTTTTACTTCTTTTTGAGAGAGAGAGAGAGAGAGAGAGAGCAAAAGAGCACGTGAGCCAGGGAGAGGGGCAGAGGGAGAGGCTGAGAGAATCCTAAGCAGGCTCCACGCTTAGTGTGGATATGGGGCTCGATCCCACGACCCTGGGATCAAGACCTGAGCTGAAACGAAAAGCTGGACACTCAACCGACAGAGCCACCCCGGCGCCCCTCCCAGGACTTCTTGCTTGAAGAGAGGAACCAGCCCCTCTCTCTGATTCGCACCATTATTAGTTACACTATGAGTTACCTGCAGCCCTGAGCATTCCTATTACATTGGACGAAGCTGCTGACACAAGCGTACAAATTCCACACCAGGATGGAAGAAGCGCACGCCCTGGCTGGGGAGGCTGTGAGGCTAAAGTCAAAGCTAACACATAACTTGGGTTGGCATCACATATCAGAGAAGAGCCAATAAACCACTCCTGTGCATCCCTTTCCAGTTGAGCTTAAAGCCTACTGTGCCGGACACCCTCCCCTGGGGCCCCCGGCCCTCACTGTCCTGAGCGTCTAGCTCCTGTAGCTGGCGTGTCCCCAGGGCCCCGTCTCCCGTTGAGATCACGTCTCCCTGGCTGGTAATGGAGGAGCTGACTGCATGCATGGACCGACAGCCTTCAGTTTCAGAGTCAGAGAGCACATCCCAGGTCTGTGCCCTTCAGCAGCTGGCCTTGGGATCTCGGGGGAGTTACTGTCCTCTCTACGCCTCCCTTTCCTCATTTACTCTTCCCGGAATGTTGTAAAAAGTAAGTGAGATGAATACTGTCAAGGGCAGGGCCCAGTAAAATGTGAGTAATGCAGGTGGTTAGGTGACGTGAGGGAGGTAATGCTCGAGAGGCTTCTCACCCTCTCCCAGCCAACTTCCCCTTGACTTGGGGCCATGACATGCAGTGCCTGCTACGACCACTAGGTGGCAGGCAACCCCTCCCACCATGAGTTTGGGAGCTGGTTGGTTCCCTTTAGTGAGAGTGTTGTCCTTTGATGGAGAAAACTCACTACCCCAATTAAGATATTTGTACAGGGGCGCCTGGGTGGCTCAGTCAGTTAAGTGTCCGACTTTGGCTCAGGTCATGATCTCACGGTTCGTGAGTTCGAGCCCCGCGTCAGGCTCTGAGCTGAATGCTTGCTCAGACCCTGGAGCCTGCTTCAGATTCTGTGTCTCCTTCTCTCTCTGCCCCTTCCCCACTCATATTCTGTCTCACTCTATCTCTCAAAAATAAATAAATGTAAAACAAACAAAAAAAGATATTTGCACAGGGGCGCCTGGGTGGCTCTGTCGTTTAAGGGTCCAACTTCAGCTCAGGTCATGATCTCATGGTCTGTGAGTTCAAGCCCTGTGCCTGGCTATGTGCTGACAGCTCAGAGCCTAGAGCCTGCCTCAGATTCTGTGTCTCCCTCTCTCTCTGCCCGCTCGCACTCTGTCTCTCAAAAATAAATACATGTTTAAATTATTTAATAATAAAAAAAAAGATACTTGCACAGCCTGGCCAGCTGTCAGTCAGAGTGCAGAGGGCATGTGGGCAAAATCAACCATGAGGGTGCTTCTAGAAGAGGTCTGGGCTTTCTTGAGCTGGCTCCAGCTCCATCCACAGTGGTCGCCTGGGTCTCCCGTCTGCCCTTATTTGCCCAGATTTGTGGGAGCTTCAGAGAGAGGCTAGAAGGAGGCTGGGATCCAATCAGCCCAATGTTCAGGCCTTCTCTACTTCTTACAGGAAGTCTCTGATCTCTCATGCCTGATAAGCCTGCTTCAAAGAAAGCAGGACCCAATCGCTGGTCTTTTTTTTTTAACCAAATGAACAGCCTCGGAACCAGCTGAAAGAAAACGGAGGTCTCAAAGTGTATGCAATCAGGCTTGTAGGTCTTTGGTTAAATGCAGGATGCGAGAGCGCCCGGGCAGTGTGAAAACCCCACATCTAGCCTACCACACATGCTTTCGCAATCTGGAGAAGTTAAAGGACTTGTCCAAGGTCTCCAGCCAATCAGACGCAGAACCGGGACCGAAATCCCGCCTGCAAACCGCCCTTTTTACCACACCGGTATTAGTTCTCCTTTGTGGATGGAGGAACTGCAGTCCTCAAGAGTGGGAACTCTCTGATGGGGCGCCTGGGTGGCTGAGTCAGTTAAGCCTCTGACTTCGGCTCAGGTCATGATCTCATGGTTCGTGGGTTTGAGCCCTGCATCGGGCTCTGTGCTGATGGCTCAGAGCCTGGAGCCTGCTTCCGATTCTGTATCTCCCTCTCTCTCTGACCCTTCCCTGCTCACGCTGTCTCTCTCTCTCTCTCTCTCTCTCTCTCTCTCAGAAATAAATAAACCATTAAAAAAGAAAAGAGTGGGGACTCCCTGAGAGCCCACCCCTGTCCCAGGCATCTCTGAGCTCAGAGCACCAGGGGGAGGGGCTCTGCCACCCATTCCCCTGCAGGCAGGCTCTTCTTTTTACCTGCCCCTCAGGGGCTCTGGGGGCAGAGCACCCTGTGTGCCGCACCAGCCAGTTAGGGCAGGAGGCAAGGCTGGGGAAACTCAGGAACACCGTCCCCCTTGGGCTCTATCCCTGGGCCTCTAGGCCCACATACTTCTCGATAGAGGTCAGCTGGCTATCAGACTTGAAGGTGGGCAGCCGGGCCCAGGCTGGAGACCCTCACGTCATTTCATGACCAGAGGCCACGCCTGTGAGGCTGGGCCTGCGCTAGGTGTTGGGACTTCCCACCTTGACTCTCAGAGTAGGAACAGGGAGAGGTCAGGGAGGCCTCTTGGTGTGTGCGGCCTCTGGGTCTCAGAGCTGCCACAGGCAGGGCCTGTCGCCGCCGTCAGGGGTCAGGGCTGCTGGGAGGGACCGTGTACAGTGCATGGCAAGGTTATGCCCTGCCCGCCTCTTTACTTCCAGCGTAAACCTCAAGGATTCCTTAGAAATCTTCCCACGTGGGGGTATCTGGGTGGCTCCATCAGGTAAGCGTCCAACTACTTCAGCTCGGGATTCGTGGGTTCGAGCCCCACGTGGGGCTCTGTGCTGACAGCTCAGAGCCTGGAGCCTGCTTTGGATTCTGTGTCCCTCTCCCTCTCTGCCTGTCCCTAGCTTGTGCTTGCTCTCTCTCAAAAATAAAAAAATAAACCTTAAAAAAAAAAAAAAAGGACCTAGGTTCTTAAAAAGAAAAAAAAAAAAGGAATCTTCTCATGGGGCCAGACACTGGTGACTTAAATTTGAAAGAGGGCAGGCAGAGTGCAGGGCATTCAGGTAGCCTTGGGTCAGAAACTGTGAACTAAGACCTTTATGTATTTACTGGCACTTGCCTTTGTCTCAAAAACACTTAACATAGGCCAGAATAGACCAGCATTCCTGCCTGAAGGACCTTGGCTTTCCTACCCAAGCCCTGGGTAGCCTTCAGGAACAGGAAGAAGGATCCTAGGAGGCCACGGCAGGATGTGGTGGGGAGTGCAGGTGCATTAGGAGAGGGTAGCTGGACCGAGGATGTTCCTGCCCTCTCCCTGCTCAGCCGCGGTGCCTGGTCTGGAGCCTCCTCTGGCCACAAAGACTGAGGCCGAGGATGGAGTAGGAGTCATAGTGGCCAGGGTGTGGCTGACTGCTGCTGGAGAGCAAGCCAGTGCTCGGACCGTGGCAGAGCCCCATGCTCTAGCTCCATTCTTCCACCCCTCAAATGGTTTTCTCAGACATTGTCTCTAAGACCTTACAACAACCTATGGGGTTGGGGCTAGTTCTTTAACAGAATTTGTAAGTGATTTCTTCCCAGGTTGATCAGCAGCAGTGCCCTCGGTGGAAAATTTGAAAGATGGATAGGTGGGTGGGTGGGTGGGTGGAAGCGTGGATGGATGGGTGGATGCAAGGATAGATGGATGGATGGATAGATGCATGCATGGATGCATGGATGGATGGATGGATGGATGGATGCATGGATGCATGGATGCATGGATGCATGGATGAAAGAAAGGGCGGATGGATGGGTAGGTGTATAGGTATATGGGTAGATGGATGAATGGGTGGATGGATGGGTGAGTGGGTAGGTGGATGGGTAGATGATGGATGGGTGGGTGGATGACTGGTGGGTGGGATGATGGATGGACAGATGGATAGACAGGTGGGTGGATGATGAGTGGGTGGAAGATGGAAGGAGAGATAGATGGGTGGGTGGATGATGGATGGATGGATGGATGGATGGATGGATGGTTACACTGGGCAGCAGATAATCACTGCTTAAGGAAGCTTGGCTTCCATTGAATTCCTACACCTCTGGAAGATGGGTTGTTACAACTGCAAAATTTTTTTTGAGAGAGAGAGAGAGAGGGAGTGCTCACGCAAGTGCGCACACACACACACACACACACACACACACACACACACACACGAGTGGGGGAGGGGCAGAGGAAAAGTGACTCTTAAGAGAGTGACTCTTAAGCAGCCTCCATGCCCAGAGTGGAGCCCAACACGGGGCTAACTGCAGAACATTTTTAACTAAAGAGGAGAAAACATAGCTCCAGAGGTCACAGAGCCCTAGTCAAAGTTATATGTGATAGCAAACTTCAAGGTATTACACGCTCCCCTGAGTTTCCAAGAACTCACAGAACCAGCCATGTCACACTGTCACCCCAGAGACCGACATAGGCTAAAAATGCAAACAGATGTAAAGTGGACCAGCTTATCTCAAGAACCACAAGGCCCAGAGGGGACACTCGAGCCCTGAGAGTGTCACTCTGTCCTTTGGGGCTGATGTGTCAGAGCTGATAGCTGGGCTGCCTGTACCTCAAGGATTCTTGGTGGAGGAGTGGCCAAGGCTAAGTGGGTGGGGGGAAGTGGTGGGAAGGAGGAAAGGGGAAGGGAAACTGAGCGTGGGGTGGGCAAACCACACCTCCGCCATCATCCTATTCGTGAGTCCAGGTTTCCTCGTCCTGGCCTCGGTGGCATGAGCAGGGGGCCACCCCTGTCTTAGAACTGATCCTTATTCCCTGCTCAGACTCCTTTCCCCTGGGTCTACCCGCTGCTGCAGCCTTATGTTTTATGCCACCAGCAAATGCTGTTTCCTCTGTCAAGAATGCCTCTCCCACTTCTTTAACTGTCTGGCTCCTCTCCAGCCTTCACTGCTCAGCTCAGGTATCACCTCCTTCTGGAAGCCCTGCACAGCCGGGGCAACGTGCTCCTATATACTTTGGGTTTCCCACCATTCCAGCATTCGTCAAGCAGTGGCGACAAGGTCTCTTAACTGGCCCAGCTCCCCTGCTAGTCTGTGAGCTCCCCCAGGACAGGGCCTGTGTCCGGGCCCTGGGTCTTGTCCTCAGGGCTCAGTGGAATCTGGCATCCAGGAAGTTGCTTACCGGGCCCTGAGGCTGGTGGTGTGCAGTGGGCCCTGGGGACCCAGAGGTGGGCCTGGGGCAGTGACTCACCCTCGCCCAGCTGCAGGGCCGGGTCCATGAGCTCCATCATGTACTCCACGTTGAGAAGCATCTCCGTTAGGTTGCTGCGGGCTAAGACGTACATGAGCACAGGCAGGAAGTCGTCTGCGCCGTAGGGCTTGCCTGGGAGGAGAAAGGATGCAGAAGGTGGTGAGTGCGAGGTTCTTCTTGTGAGCCGTTCTCTGCCCAGGGGAAGAGGACAGTGGTTCGTTGGGGGAGCGAGGGGACGATCTCCCCTGGAAGAGGAATCTTGCAGCTTTCTCATGACTCAGGCCGGGGCGATCTGGGATCAGCCTTCTGGGGGAAGTCTGAGACACAGTCCAGGTTTAGGAAAAAGGAACTGAGAGAGGCACCCGCCCCCCCCCCACTGGAGTGGGCAGGTCCCAACCCTTCCCTCTTCCCCTGCTCTTCCCCCTCAATGCCCCTTGCTGCTTATTATTTTTTTTTTTAAATTTTATCTTTAAGTAATACCCACACCCAACATGGGGCTTGAACTCACAACCCTGAGAATGAGTTGCACGCTCCACCGACTGAGTCAGCCAGGTGCCTCCCACCCTTGCTGCTTATTTGGCAGTCAAGTTCGTATCACACTCAGGGAGCCACCCAGAAGCAGCTGCCTAACAGTGAGGTATTCGTGAAGGTTCCCTGTCTGTTTTAACCACATCTCCCTCTCCACCCACGCAAAACAGAAAGCCTTCCCTCGATTAGTTCTATGCGGTTGGAAATTCCACCATTCAACCTTCACTCTATTGGGTGAAACAGGGCCCTTTCCCGAGGGGGGTTCTTTTAACACGTAAATACTTCTGAAAGGAATAACCCATCACTTCTGCTTTTGTGGGAGATGTTTCCATGGTTCAGAGCATCTTGACAATAATAGACGCCTTGGGGAAGTGACAGTGTGGACTGAGGGCCTAGGAGAGGCCTTCCCTGCTTGGCTCTGGGCTGGCTCTTGAGACTGACTGCTTGCCAATTCAAAGTCACTGGCTAGATGTGGAGGGGGGAGAATTCTTACAAGGACAGGATCCCCTGGAGTCCCTCAGCTGGCATGTGGGCAGGTCTCTGAATGCACGAGGGCAAAGGAAAGCTTGGCTGAGCTGCTTTGCACAGTGAGGAATGTCATGAGGGGTCCCCAGCCTACCTTCTCACTTCCTCTTACCAAAGGAGGCCTAGGGCTCGGACAAAGGTCTCCAGACTCAGCTGGAAGTTACCCGGCCTAGGTGTGGCCCCAGAAAGATCCATACCATGACTGCTGCCCTTTGTGTCTTGGGTGAGATGAATAACCGGTCTAAATACATGCTAAGCAATTACATTCTTTCAGAATATGTATTTCTACTTGGCACGTTTTATGAAAGATTTGGGTGACCATCGGGAAATGCAAGATAAAAAGGTAAAATCAAAATCAAAATGTAAACATCAGGGAAACATAGATTACAAGGGAAATCGCACGCCGCAGCAAAACAAAAACAAAAACAAACAAAAAACAACACACAAATAAGCCAAGACCCGTACAATCACTCGTTTCGTGGCACAAGTTTGGCTTTGAGTTTCCTGGTGGCCAAAGGGAAAGGAAGACACAATCAGTGACACTGTTCTTACTGACCATGGGAAGAAAATACACCAGTTTCTTGGGGAATCAAGTTATTTTTCGAATGCTTAAGGCTAACATGAGAATTTCACACGTGGCTTCATCTGGAGGAGGTGGCGGGCAAGTTCCCTGGGCAAACATTAGGGCTACGTTTCACTTGGTGATTTCGTTTCATTGCCATTCAGAGGAAAATGCCCTGAGGTTGAGGAAGAGACAAAAGTGGGGGAGCCTGGATCACTGAGGACCTGGGAGAGGAGCGGAATAATACCAGCTGCACCGGTACGAGAGGGTGGAAAAAATCACTGGTGTGTGTGTGTGTGTGTGTGTGTGTGTGTGTGTGTTTAATGTTTATTTATTTATTTTGAGGGAGGAGAGTGGTAGAGAGAGAATCCTGAGCACCGCCCGATGAGGGGCTCAAACTCATGAACCATGAGATCATGACCTGAGCCGAAACCAAGAATCACACACTTAACTGACTGAGCCCCCCAGGCGCCCCTGCGGCTCTGTGTCCTGAGGCTCTCTGGTTATTTGCTTCAAAGCTCCTGTCCCCTCCCTGCACAGAATTAGTCCGTTTTGGAGAAAGCTCTCCCCTAAACCTTTATGAGCCCGAAACACAATCAAAGAGTTCGTGGGGAAAGATTTTGTGCCGGGAGATGTTATTCATGCTGATAATTTAATTATCAGAATCCTGGCCTATAGGAGATTCTTGCTTGCTTGAGTGATGAGTTAGGAACTGACGTGAAACAGTCCTGTGCTTTTCAAGATGCGCCTATAACTCATGCGCCGGCTTAGAGCTGATTGAGTTTTTACTGCGCCTCCTAGAACAGCGATTTCTTGTCGGGGTTGTGTTAATAACTCACCACGGGATACAAGCAGGCAAGCGAGTTTGCTTTTGAGCAGTGGTTCTCAGCCAGGGCGGTCTTGCCCTTCAGGGGCCCCTTGGCAGTGTCTGGAGTCCTTCTGGGTTGTCACCCCAGAGTGGGGGTACTGCCGGCGCCAGGGCAGCCCTCCGTCACAAAGATTCACTCGGCCCCAGACGGCTGTAGTTGTAAGGGCCAGAAGCTCTGCTTCCGGGGACAGTGACTTTCAGCAAGAAGGATGGTCCAGCTCTGGCCCGAGGTTCAGGACCGCGGCTCCGTGCCCTGCGGGGACGGCCCGTGGTTCGTGTGTTTCTCCGCCTCCCCATGCGCTCCCTGAGAAGCCTGGCCGGCGCTCAGGAAGGGCTTCGGGGCGCACCTCCTTGGTTCCCCGCACATTGTGTTTGGCCACCTCACTGCAGGGGCGCTTGTCATCCCACGCCTGTCCCTCCAGCCACCCGTGAACACCCCCCTCTGCCTCCCCAGTACACAGAGCAGGGCACAGCGGCGGTGAGCAGGGAGGGGTGCTGGGTGAGTGAATGAATCCAGAGCCCCGCGCCCGCCCCAAGCTTCCCAGGCCCCGTGGACCTTTGCAGAGACCCCCACGAGTCCTTCCCCTCACCGGGGGCCAAACCAAGGGTTTCCTCATTTCCTGAAACCAGCCTGGCTGCCAACCTTCCCATTCTGTTAGGGAGCCCACCCCTCCCTGTCCCTGTCCCGGGGCGCAAGGCCTGGGAGTCCCCCCCTTCCTCCGGGGCTCTGTTCCCTGTGGCAGGCAGGCCAGAGCCCCAGATGAGGCTTCTCCTGACCGCTCCCTGTACTCGCCCTTTGCTTTTCCAGTCCTACTCCCTAAGCCTCCCCTCCCAGCAGGGTCTCTGTCCTTTGATCCACTTTCCACTAACTCATCTCCTGCGAGTGCAGCTCTGATCATGCTATTTCTCTTCTCAAGAACCATCAATGGCTCCCCTCTGCTTCGAGAATCAAGTCTGGATCTCTTACCATGGCATTCAAGGACTCCCACAACTGGGCCCATAAACACCTGTCTGATAAGATTACCCTCTGCCAGCCACACTGTCTAGTTGCTGGCCTGAGAACAAGTCACCTGCATTCTGGCCCCTGGGTATTTGCCACAGTCACCTATCTGGCTTGTTCTTGCCTTCCCCCTCCCACACAGCACCAACATTCACGGGCCATTCCAGAAGCAAAGCAGCTTTTGTAAATATTATATCAATGGATTCCTATAACAACTCTGTGAGGTGGGTTAGAGCCATTGTGCCCACTTTATAGATGAGGAAAGTGAGCCCCAGCGAGGTTAAGCTGGGGTTGCATGGCTGCGGTGTGGTGAACCAGGACTTGAATCCAACTCTTTCTTACCTGCGATCCCATGTCCCCGCTACTTCAACATTCTTCCTTCAAGTTCCGCCTCCTCCATGAAGCCCTCCGAGACTGCTCCCAGCCCCCGGTGCTTATTGTACACTCTTACTTTCCAACTTCCAACTCAGAATGACATGCTGCCTTCCTCACCTTCCCACACAACATTCCTCTGTGCTGAATCGTGGGCCATTTCCTGAACTCCATTCCTCATGCCTTTGCACACTGGTTGCCTCTGCCAGGGACACCCTCCCTAGCTCTCTGGAAAACTTCTCCCTCCTTGCCTTCTCCCGCATCCTCAGGCACAGCGGGACACTTTCTGCTCCAGCCCCCAAATACCTCGATTAGTTCAGAGCCTGCCCTTTTCCTTGGACTGTGAGCTCCTTGAAAGCAGGGACAGAGGCTGGGTGAGCTTGGGAAAGTCTCTCAACCTTCCTGAGCCTCTGCCCCATCACTGCCTTTCCAGTCCCCAGCACAGGGCTCGGGATGACAACAGAGCCACACGTGTGTTCCCACTGGCCTCCGCTCTGTCCTGTCCAGGGCTGAGGCTGTGGTCAAGGATGCCGGGATCCGCTGTGGGTCTGAGACAGTGGTGTGCTGCCCCTCCGCGGGGAACAATAAGCTCCGATTTGCAGGTTTGCCGATGTCGGTGGCATAAATATTTCCACAGCTGCCCACTTGAAGCCGCCAATGTGAACGTGGAGGGGAGAGAGGCGCCTGATCATCTCACAGCCTGACCAGCGGACTGAGGACACCAGTGACCCTGGATTCATCAAGCCCAATCTCACCGTGAGAAGCCGAAGTTCAGACACGAGAGAAATTTGCTCAAAGCCCCGCAGCCGGTTGGTAACAGATCTGTGACCAGAATCTGGGTCTCACTTCCTTGCTGTGGGTGGCAGTGCCCACTCAGGCTCTCTGATCGGCTAGCTTCCTACGGATGAACAGAAGCTGCAAGCATCGTTTAAATGCCCTGGCTCTTCCCTGATATTCCAGGGCCATTTAGGGCTGCGTTCTCCTTCCCGTGAAGCCAGGAGCCCAGGGCACGAGCTCAGCCTGTGCACAGGGGGCCTCAGGCAGCGGCGCTGGGACACCCAGACATGGTCCCCAGGTAACTGTCCTGTGACCGGATCATCTGGCTTGCACGGGTCAGAGACCCCGACATCGGGCTGTGCCTCCCGGGCCACAGCCTGCACTGCCTGGTGATTTCTGCTTTCTTTTTGTGCCAAAGTCACATCTGTTTTCTATCTGTAGGTATGGATGGTGGGGGGTGGGGGGGGTGGAGAGCCAATCACACTTTATTTATTTATTTT